GAGTAAGTCTTTTTTTATTAACCTACTTGTATTAGTTTTCACATAACTGGTACACATTTGACTAGTTAGACTTTTTCCAAACTATAATTCCTGACTAAATGTATAATCAAGTGAAACATTATGAAGTTTCATTCACAGCATCTAAATGTCACGATGCCAGGATATTTTTTTTAATGTTCTATAACAGACCGAAATACGATATAAAAGTAATATGAGTTATAATGTTACTAGCCTAATGTCAGTAAGAATGACTAGTCAAATAAATACTACAGGCTTGTAATGCTTGTAATATCTTCAGTTTTGGTATTTATGCATATTCATAATCTAAGTTGATGTCTGGCCCCAAAAAGTACTTGTACATTAAGTCGCACTTAAATGTCTTAATGCTATTTCATTAGATGCAAACAACAAATTATGCTGGATCTCTTCTCAGAACTAACTTTTCCACATTGACTTTTAATCAGCTGTTGTGGAAGTGCTTTTTTAAGTGGCTGCATAAAGTCACACAAGTGTAAAATGACACGCTTCACTATAGTTTGAGTGCAAAAATACTCTGTGGAGCCGCTGTAAAGTCAGACAGGGCTAATATAAGTGATAATGTAACCATATTCAACTGGGTTTGAGTTGATTCTCTAACACTCACAGAGGAGTGTTGAACTTCCAGTCTGATGAAAGAACAAAAATTCGACAGTTCATCCTTCAGAATAAAAGATAATGAGAATCCAAATTAAGTCTTGAAAAGCAACATTAATCCCTCATAGTGTGATGTTTCTTCTTCTGAGCTCGGCTTTAATGAGAGAGGATAAGGGATGTACCGATCTATTATCCAGTACCTTTCATGTACCCATCACATCAGATCCCAATGCCTCTTCTGGTCTTCTGTATAGTCTCAGTCTCAGACGGCACACCCCTGGACCGCCCACAGACCGCTAACCTGCTCTGTCTAATCCATATCGCAGACAAAACCGTAAAAGGACTTTCTTGATCTGGCGAGCTCTACTTTCTTGATCTGATTGCCTAGCTTTATGAAACTTTTAGGAGCGAGTTTCAAAGTTCAGAGTTCAAAGTTGTGTTTACATGGTACCAGGTTGAAACTTGAAGCTTTTGAAGATAAAATAATTATTGCATTTTTTAAAACTCTCTTCAGGTTAGCAGCATCAGAAAGGATGCTCAAAGTTTTGTCTGGGGCGATACAAACCAAGCAAACTAGATTTTATTGAGCAGACCTGAAAATGCTACTTTTCTGAATTAAGTCTGTGAAAAGTACATATATAAAGTTCTAAATACTTGGATGATCAGAAAACTTCTGATATTTTCTGTATAACAGTTTGTGGAGACTAGCATGGCACAATTTAAAATAAGTACTTAAAAGAAATAAAATATAAACAAAATAAAAATAATTCAAATTAAAAATAAATTTTTATTTAAAAGAGATACTTTTTTCTGAATTATGTTGGTGAAAAATAGGTATTTGAAGTTTAATTTTTTTAGATGATCAGAAAAGTACGCATTCAAATATTTTCTGTAACTGTTTGTCAATCTAAAGTACTTCAAATAAATTCTTAATTTAAATGAAAAATAATCTAAATTTAAAATTTAATTTAAAATAAATGTTTAAATTAAAAAATAAAAATGTATTTAATAAAAAAAATACAATTATAATTATTTGTGCAGACTGCAATACCATAATTTATCATAATTTAAGTAAGGCATAACTGACAGACACCCAATGAATTATTAGAAAAATGATGCAATAATGCAATAAAACAGCCCTATGGTGTAAATTTTATTGATTTGTCATGCTAAATTTAATCGTTTTCATTAAAATGCTTTTATACACTGCATTTTGTTCTTGTGGAATAATCACTTACAGACCATATTTTCCTAAATGGCATGTAGAAAACAAATAGCGTTTAGCTACTTTAAATGTTAGACAAATGGTCTCTTCCTGGCCAAATGGGCGATTCTTAACCAAAATAAGCTGCGGTGTGGATGGGACTTTTTGTTGTTTAGTCAAAATGTTTTGTTTACGTGTGACTAACCTCTGCTTTGCAAACATGTTGTATTACCTGCATTTTAAGCAGCTGTGCCATGCAGATCTGGACCCTCATGTAGCTGAAGCTCATTCGTTATTTTCTCATTGCATGAGCTGTCCGAGAGAGTCCTGTGATAAAGCATTAGTTTGCCTAAAATAGCTTTTTAGGGCAGAAATGCCGACATATAAGGCAATTTGCAGCTTAGAGAACATGAACTGCCAGCACACATTAATAGATATGAAGCTGAAGCTTTCAGAAATTTTAGTAATGGATGGTCCACTGCTTTGAAACATCTGAACACGCAAATGCACCTGCTGTCTGCTGGATTCGTAATGAATGAGATGTGCACTGCTACATGTGCATTTAAAATCATATTTAATAATTAAATATGCATAATGTAATTTACAAGTTGGGAATTATATCTCTCACTGTCAGATATGGATGTGAACCTATGGAGATAACTTAAGAAATGATATTTCCTGACCCTTTGAATTGTAGTTATCGCTATTTATTTCATTCAGAATTTTATTCGCCACAGAATAAAAATAAATAAATTAAAAAGGTAATTACTTCACAATTCAGAATATTTTTTTCTCAATTCTGAGATGTAAACTTGAGATATGACTCAACATTTTAAAGAAAAGGGGCAAAATAAACGCAGAATTACTAGATATCGAGAATTCTGTTTCTTGTAATTCTGTTTTTTTTTCACCATAAGAAGGTAATTGTGACTTTTTATCTCACAATGTCGACTTTTTAAATAAATAAATAAATAAATGATTTTTCATGCATAGATATCAAATCTTACAATATGGATTTGCTGTGCTTGCAATACTTGCAATATTGCCCCGTTGTGCAGCTTGACAGCTCACTTTCAGTGATTGTTTCATGTAAAAGAACTTCAGAAAATCCTCATTTTTTGTTGCATGGAAAAAAAAACCAATCACATATAGGTTTGGAACGACATGAGAGTGAATAATAAATAATAAAATGATTCCTTAAAGGTATGTTATATGCTTAAAACATGCATTTGTTGCACACCAAATGCGTGTGGAGTATGTTGCATTAGCTGATGTTTATTTTAAATAAAAATACCCTTCATTAGGTACAGTAAGTGCAGTTTGGAGTGTTTTGTTAAGACGCTTTCCTCTTATCCTGCATGAAGCTAATTAGATTAATTATCTGACACTGTCTCTCTTTTCAAGCCAGACTTGGGCTGCATAATTAAGTGTTGATTTTATTTTTGTTTTTGGAAAATAAATGCTTACAAAACCCATATAATTCTCATTAAAACAATCATTCTGTTCCTCAGAACACAACCAGCAATTAGCATGATCAACCTGATGTACGATAATTGCTGCCATTTATTGTTTTGCTGGCAGACAAAAATCCAATCCAGTGTTGGCGAAGTAAAAAAAAAAAGACACCAAAAATTATTTTGGAGGAGCTTTGCCTTCACTGTGTGATGCTTATTATCCGTTGTAACAAAGTTCGTAGATCGTGAAGAAGGAGGCGGGAAACGGCAAACATTCAAACATAACTTTAATAATAAAATAAACACAAAACTTAAAATAGCGCGACAGCCCCTCACGGCTGCATAAAATCCAGGCCTGGTCCTCTCTCGTCCAACACTGTCGTCACTCCTCTTTTTATCCTTCCGGAGCTCCTGCGTGGGACTTGAGACCGGTGAGTGGCGCAGGTGTCGCGCATTAGCATGTACTCCACGGGCCTCGCTCCGTTCCCATGGCTCTTTGCCCCGCCCCACTCGTCACATATCCCCAACACCCCACGCAGGCCGGGGGGTACTCCCGAGACTGCGCTCTACTCACCTCTCCGCCCTCCGGGGGAGCCGATCACGGCGTCCGCGGTGTACCTGGTGGTAAGGACAGACAGACGAGCGAGAGAAAAGGAGACGAAGGATGAGGAGAGACAGAGACAAGAGAGGGGAAAACATTTTTTTGTTCTGGTTCCCAGACACACTGCCGCTCGGCCCTCCACCAGCTGGGCGACCTCTTCCGCGATGCCTGGCAGCGGCGCTGGATAGCCCTCGGTGGACGACCCGACACTCCTCCGCCGCCCGGTGGATGGCGACGGCTCCTCTGAATTCGGGGCAGCCGGCAGGAGTCCCCCGTTCCCTGCTCCTCCCCATCATGCCGGATGGCAGCAGGCTCCGGCCTCAGGCGAATGGCGTCGACTCCTCTGCTCCCTCACGGAAGGCAGCTGTCCCTCCACATCCCAGGCGGCCGGCAGCAAGTTTGTCCATCCCCCCGCCTCGAGCATCCATGGCGGCAGACTGCTCCGCCATGCTCGATGGCACCGCGGATTCCCCACAGCGGCAAGGGCTCTCTGGCAGCGTGTCCCTCCTTCCTCCCTGGTTTCGGCACCAATGTAACAAAGTTCGTAGATCGTGAAGAAGGAGGCAGGAACCGGCGAACATTCAAACATAACTTTAATAATAAAATAAACACAAAACTTAAAATAGCGCGACAGCCCCTCACGGAAGACTGCCGCGCACAAACAGAAACAAAACAACATAAAATCCAGGCCTGGTCCTCTCTCGTCCAACACTGTCGTCACTCCTCCTTTTACCCTTCCGGAGCTCCTCCGTGGGACTCGAGACCGGTGAGTGGTGCAGGTGTCGCGCATTATCATTTACTCCACCTGCCTCGCTCCGTTCCCACGGCTCTCGGCCCCGCCCCACTCGTCACATCCGTCATAATCATAATGTCAATGATTCTGCTTTGCAAAACAGACCTTTGACTTGCAGCTAAGTCGGGCAACCCCTTCCTGCTCTGTTTTCTTCATAAAGCTCTATTCATAATGCACTGTTTCCTAGCAGCTTCACAAAATATAATGCCTTCAGTTCACAAACATTCCACATTTCGCACTTGTTAACATTATGGATAATATTTGCTAAAATTGTGCGTTTGTTTGGCCGACAGCTGAGGACACATGTGGCGGGACCTTCCGAGGCTCCAGTGGCACCATCTCCAGTCCAGACTTTCAGAAGGACTATCAGAGCAGTGGCGAGTGCACGTGGACCATCCTGGCTGATCCAGGAGACACCATCTCACTGGTCTTCACTGAATTCCAGATGGACAGCAAACTCGACTCTTTAGAAGTTGAGGGATCTGATCCACCAACAATATGGTGAGTTTGATATTGGATTATGTTGCGTCTCACTGGACTTCTTTATTCTGCGTTCTGTGGTCAGTTATTGTTGCAGGGTTTCTGCGGGTCTAAAAAAAGTCTTAAATTAGAGCAGAAAGTCTTAAATAGTTTTTCTTGTTTTTCAATACAAACATCTAAATATCTTTAAAACAAGATACATTTGCTTGATGCAAGTGTAAAATGTCTTGAAAAGCTAAACAAAATTGAGTTTTGGTCACACTTCTTGTCATTTGGTCACAATTTTTGCCATTAACAACAAACCATTAACTGCTACTTTTGAATCAATAAACTCCTAATTTGCTGCTTATTAATAGTTAGTAAGGTAGTTGTTAAGTTTAGGTGTTGGGTAGGATTAGAGATGTAGAATATGCTCATGCAGAATATGTGCTTTATAAGCACTAACAAACAGCCAATATGTTAAAGGTGGGGTAAGTGATTTCTGGTAGCAAATGTTGATATTTCAGATCACCAAAACAAACACGCCCCTACCCCAAAAGGGTCTCGCCCCTATTTTGATAGCTCCGCCCCACACATACGTACGCAACCCAGGCAACGATTATGGCAGAATCTGCTGTATTATTATCTGCTGTATTAAACATATTATCTTACTTTTCAGACACACTTTGGGAGCTGATGCTTGAAACAGACAGTGGACGAGGTTTAGACGCTCCAGGCTTATAGGGTGTCTTTATCATAGCTGAAGGGAACGACAATTTGATTGCAGATGAACAAACAAGCAAACATGACACATGAGCATATTCAAGCAAAAGCCAGCATATACCGATCGCAGGCCTCCTTGAGTTCTCTCCAGCGCTGGAAAGCTGATCCGAAATTTACACGGGTCCTACTTCTTGCCTTATCGTAAGCCTTCTTTTGTTCCGCAGACGTTTTCCTCTTGTTTTTTTATCTGCCATCTCTATCTTTCTGTCGTCGCTCAGCTCGGCTAATGTCCGTCCTGTGCACTGAGCGCTCTCTCCTCCGCATCCTGAGTAGACACGCCCCTTGCTGCTGATTGGCTACAAGTTTGTTTTGGTACTTGGCCTCACTCAGTTTTCTAAAGCGTTTTTGAAAAAATACATACCCCCACTTTTAATAATGCTAATAAGCAACAAGTTAATAGTGAGAATTGGTCCCTTTGCTTAAAAGAAGAACAAGGGTGTTGTATGTAAACTTGTTTTCTATTTGAATAAATTTTAGCCCACTGGCAGATATTTGTTCGTGTTTTAGTCATAAGCTCACTTCATTTTGATCAATTTTGACCTTAAACAAGACTTGTTATTTTGCTTTTCAAGTAAATGTATCTTGATTTGAGAATCTTTAGACATTTGCACAAATATACTGATATATATATATATATATATATATTGTGTGTATGTATATATATATATATAATTGTATTTATGCTAATAATTCATAATGCAAAACACAGTATGTACAAACCATGTTTGTCATCATAATTAATGTTTTTTAAGTTTTTTTTTACCTTCCATAGTTTTATGCATTGTTTTTGAGGAGGAGGGCATGTCACACAATTTGTGCACGTTGCCATTGGTATAATTTGACTGACTTTGTAAAATAGGCAATTTAATTGGATGCACAGCCTTTGACATTGTCAACAAAAGATGTGGAAAGCATTTTGTTTTCCTTTTTAAAAGCCTGTCTGTTTTATTATTTTAACTATACATGATTATATGCTTAGTTGCATTACATTATTTACATTTATCATTGTTTTTCCCTGCTGTCTGCAACAACCCACTAGTTGATAACCACAGATTCCAGCTCAAATCGATATTTCATATACATTTTTTCTTTATAAATAGCTGCATAATTACTGTACCTTTGTCCCTTTGTGTTTTTTTCCCTTCCCACACAGTGGTTCAGATTGTTTCCAGTCCGTTCAGAATTAATGTACGCATTGATAAGTTCATAGGATTCAACATCTTAATTTCAAAGTGTGGGAATGATTTTGAATATGACAATTGAAGGATTGGAAATGTGCGATTAATGTGTTAGATTGTCTAAAGAAACTACTCAGAAGGTGCCAAAACTTCCATCAAACCTCTGAAATGACTGTGTGAGCTTTTGAGAATCATAAGAAATCAGAATAGATGCCTTTAACTTGATTCGATGCAGCCTACATGACTCTGCAAATCCACAGATTTCAGACTTGGCACAGGAAAGCACAGCATACTCGGCGTTAAACTCAACCGCTGATGCTGAAATGACAATCAAACACTGTAAGTGCATGTTAAGAGCGCAGGGAACAGCATTGTGTGAGCAGTATACTGGCGTGGTGGTGATGACCTTGCTTGTCGGTTGCTTCATTGATTCGCTTAAGTAATTTCTATAAGCAACATGACAAATGAAGCCAAGTTTTGTTTGAGCGGAATGAACTTCTCCCCTCTAATATTGTTCAAGCCAAACAAACAAATCAATGTTTATGCCGGAATGACCTTTATGTAATTCTACTATACTTTCTGTGTATGTTGGAAAGGGCAAAAACAACAATCTTGTAAGTTACAAATCACTCACAGAAAGGGACGTACAAAAGCCATTCCTCTTGCTCTCCTCTGCCGAAAGAGCGTTCTGTGTTTGGAAAAGTATATTACATTTCTTTTTGTTTTAGATGGAACATGCTTCAGGACTTAAATGAGACACCTGGGGCCATGGTTTGCAAGCATAACTGGGTCAGTATTGTGTTTGTACTCGTGCCGCGTCAGATTCTGAGCTCAGATCAGACGTCATTCAAACCGCAAGGTCAACACTCGAGCATATTTTGGGAATATGAACCAGATGTGTCTGCGTTTCTTCGTATCGTGATGATGAAAATCTTTTATTCTTAGATGAAGACAAATGGCGTGTTCTTGTTAGGGTTATGCGTCATTTAAAGCGAGCGGTTTTCCTCTTTTTCCCACGAAGGCCGCTCGGAGAGATACAACCAAATGAAGTCTTTTGTATCCGTTCGCTCCTCAGAGGTTTTACACGCTCCCGGTGACTGCGGCTGCCCACTGCATACAAGATTTGTCCCACTTCCCTGTGCCATACTGCCTGGAAATAAAGGAATAAACCCCACACACTCACGCAGATTGTGTTGCATGCTGGGAGAAGGTTAAAAGCAGACAGCTCGCTCGGATCAGAAACATGTCCAGAATCAGCTATTTCTGAAAATCAGAGGCTTTAAAAACGAGCTTTTCGCTAGTTCTTTACCACCAATAGAGATGAAAGTTTTGCTATCTATCTATCTATCTATCTATCTATCTATCTATCTATCTATCTGTCTATCTGTCTGTCTGTCTGTCTGTCTATCGTTCTATCGTTCTATCTATCTATCTATCTATCTATCTATCTATCGCTCTATCATTCTATATATTGTTCTATCGATCACGCTATCGCTCTATTGTTCTATCTATCGTTCTATCTTTTGTTCTATTGTTCTATCTATCGTTCTATCTTTTGTTCTATTGTTCTATCTATCGTTCTATCGTTCTATATATCATTCTATCGATCACTATATCGCTCTATTCTATCTATCGTTCTATCTTTTGTTCTATTGTCTGTCTCTTTCTGTTGTTCTATCTATCTATCTATTGTTCAATCTGTCATTCTATCTATTGTTCTATCTATCGCTCTATCATTCTATCTATTGTTCCATTTATTGTTCTGTTGTTCTATCTGTCTATCTGTCTGTCTGTCTGTCTAGCTATCATTCTGTCATTCTATCATTCTATCGTTCTATCATTCTATCTATTGTTCTGTTGTTCTATCTGTCTGTCTGTCTGTCTAGCTGTCGTTCTGTCATTCTATCATTCTATCTATTGTTCTGTTGTTCTATCTGTCTATCATTCTATCTATTGTTCTGTTGTTCTATCTATCGTTCTGTCTGTCTGTCTCTTTCTGTTGTTCTATCTGTCCGTCCGTCTGTCCTCTCTGTCTGTCTGTACTAGCACACACTGATGTGTAATTCATGTCTGTAGCACAAACAGTACAGTACAGTACAAGTTATATGCCAAAGTGTAATCTATTTATTGGTAGGAGTTTGTTTAAATCCCTAACTCTAAGTCTGATTGATATTAATAGAGATGCTTGACTTTGCACTGCCAACAATGGTGAATGCATATTGGGACAGGTGCTTCAGAGCCTGTACTCCCCGAGATAAGCTATTTGGCTTGTGTGGTCTGAAATAACAGATGTATATTGCAAAATTTCTGCCCTAAAGGTGAGTTGTACAAGCGCCTGAGAATTAAAACCAATAACAGTGTAACTGCCGGCAAAGGCCAGATAACATTATTATTATGGAGAACATAATGTCCATTTCTGTATTAATAAAGCGTGAGTGCGTTTGACTACAGGTCCAGCTCTGACTACAGCATTAACTGCATCTGTCCTATTGTCTGCTGACCCGCTGCACAAACACTAGCACAAAAATAGATAGTAATTGAAAAGACACAAATAAATCAAAACACCAATGGAATGCAGGAAATGGATACACTTCCTCTCTCTTACTCCTCCTGCCTGCCTGGAGAGAGAGAATAAAGAGGTGAAGATATAGCGAGACTAACAAACTGGATTTGTACGTTTTCAATGCTAGGTTGTTGTGGGTGGTTGAGAAGGCCTCAATGGCATCATCTATGTGGTTGCTAGGGTATTTGGGTGATTATTTAGTGGTCAAAAGAGCCCACCACCAAGACTCTCTGATATACTGGTCACTAGATATGACTCACACCTTCTTCACTATTACGCAATAGAGTCTGATTGCAGCCAGACAATGAAATGAGTGAGCGATAGAAAGAATGAAAACAGAATAAGAAAGAAAGAAAGAACAATAGATAGAACAAATGATAGAATGAATGACAGATAGATACATTGCTAGATAAATAGAACAATAGATATAAAGAATGATAGGAAGACAGATAGACAGGCTGAACATAAAAACACTAATAAATAATATTTCTTTTATGTTATGTTATGTTTGTTATCAAAAATATTTTCATTAAGTTTTCATCTTAGTATTTTGTTAATGAAAACACGATGTAACAAAAATGTATTTCACTTTTGGTTCGTCTGCAATTCTGTGGTGTTTGTTATTATTTTACTTTTTATTTTCATGGAGCATCAATATTTACCAAAATATTAAGGTCTGGTGAATTTTAGTATGTCTATCATTAATTATGAAACATTGGCTTAGTACAGATACGTTTTTGTTCTAATTTTGTGCGTTTTTGCTTTTGCAAGGATCGGAACATTCTAGAAGTTTCTGTAACATTCCTAATTATTCATTTATTCCAAAATAATAACTCAAGGCAGTAATTTTAACAATAGATTTTATTTGTGAACTTATGTTCAGCTATTCTTTTTAATGGTCACAGCTGATTACTCACTAAAAACTCCCACTGATCATGTTTTCATGCCATTGCATGTGTTATTTTGATGTAACAAAGTGGTTTTATCTAAGTGTGTGAGTTGTTTACATTAACGCCATTATATTGTTCATTCAGACTGATTCGCAGACGCAGAACGTGCACAAACACGAGGCGGGATTTATCACATGAACCAATCAGAGTTGATCATAACCACTCATATCCACCATTCATTCTTAATTACCCCCCTCCAAACTCACGGCACGCTATAGGGGGTCTGTTAAAACTCAATGGGCTCAGGGGAGGTGAGAAAGACGCAGACTCCTGCTGCATGTAACTTTACCTGCTGGTGTCACTGATGGACAGTGTTTCGGAGTGTTTTAAGTTTTCATGAGCGCTGTTAATGATACACAAAAAGTAATGTGATTCAGCATATCAAACTTCATAAAGAAACATTAAAAATAAAAGTGAAACAAAATGAAACAAATAAAAATTTGTTCCACGGTAATGCTGATTTTGGGGGTAGGCTTTTAAGACTTGGGCTAGTAATTAACCACCTAACAACCGTCCAGAACACTTTAGCAACCACATAGCAACATAAAAGCAACAAGCTACAGCGCCCTAGCATCATGGCAGTGAGTTTTAGTGTTGTGTTTGTGAAACCAGCAGATGACGTGGGGTCATTGGTTAATGTCGCTGGTGTGTAGGGAACTCAAAGTCAATCTGGCATCTTTCAGGTCAGATTGTGGGTTGGATCCAGGCTTTAACATGGGTTGATGTCTTGACGTTTTACAAATGTACAAAAAATCTCTCGTTTGCCCTTTTCAACATTACAGAACTGACAAGTGTTCGAGACTCAGGTATGAACTGTGTTTTTCTTCAAAAAGCGATTCCACTGTCGGATCTCACTTGAATAATTGCAGCGCCGGCTATGATTGACAGACAGCGAGGCCGAGTGGGTTCGAGTTCATTGCAGTCATTCTGGAAAGTCTGTGACGGCTGAAATGGTTTAGCCTTGAAATACTTTTGCCCTGTTTTACTATAGACTTTCACTGTCACAGCCGATTGACTGTTATGAAGTTTAAAGTTATGGTCGAGTCCTTGAGATGTTGGCAGATGGGAAGAAACAATAGACCTAATGTTAGTGGCAAACAGCTGACGGCTGTTTTTACGTCATTTGCATCTCAGTAAACAGCACAGTCATTTATAAAGGTCAAATTTTATGGCATATGAAACTTCCAATACTTCCTCCATTTAGCCTGCTTCAGATAGGGCCACTGTTCCTTATAATAATATCATAAAAAATACATTTATGCATTTGGCAGATCCTTTTATCCAAAGCGGCTTACATTGCAATCAAAGTATGAAGTTTATCAGTTAATGCATTCCCTGGGAATTGAATCCATGACCTTGCCATTGCTAATGACATGCAAAATAATATTTGTTTATAATATTTTGATAAAGGATTTACATTAAATAAAAATAAGTAATTATATATAAATTCAATTCAATTCAAGTTTATTTGTATAGCGCTTTTCACGATACAAATCATTGCAAAGCAACTTTACAGAAAATTAAGTTTCTACAATATTTAGTAGTAGCTTATCAGTATTTCTGATGTTACCTATTTTATCAGTGAAGAAGTCATTACTATTAAACTGTGATGGAATATTTAGATCGGGTGGCATCTGGTTATTTGTTAATCTAGCCACTGTGCTAAATAAAAACCTTGGATAGTTTTGGTTATTTTCTATGAGTTTGTGGATATGCTTGGTCCCGGCAGCTTTTAGGCAGCTTTTAGAGCCTGTCTATAGCTGTGCATACTGTTTTTCCACGCAATTCTAAAAACTTCCAAGTTAGTTTTTCTCCATTTGTGCTCAAGACTATGAGTTTCTTTCTTGAGAGAATGGGTATTACTGTTGTACCATGGCACAGTACATTTTTCTCTAACCTTTTTCAATTTGATGGGGGCAACAGCTTCTAATGTATTAGAGAAGATAATGTCCATGTTGCTAGTCCTTTCGTCTAGTTCATGTGTATTTATGGGTACACAGACCAGTTGAGATAAATCAGGCAGGTTATTTGTAAATCATTTATTTAATTATTCATCTCATCTCTAGTTTGTTAGTATATTGCACTGACAGTAAATCAATACTTGTCACTTCCTCTCAACATGGGTTTAGCAGCCTTCAGTATTATTTTGCCCAGAAAAAAAATCCTTCATAGATCAGCACTCTTCTTGTCAGTTATATTTTGCAAGTAACAACTTAAACTTCAATGTTTCTCTTGAATTTACTTAGTAGAAATAGAATCATTGACGTTCAGTAAGAATAAAGTGCTATAAAATGAATGCGGACAGCAGCTCAGATCATTTGATTTTGGGTGAATTTGATGAGAAATGTTTAGGTAGTATTGAAATTTGAGCCATTTATCATTTTCCTTGAAGGCAACTTACGATTCCGTTGAGCAGAATGAATAAAAGTGCTCAATATAATGTACATGCTTGAAAGTGACACTTTGCTAATACTGTTTTTAAATTGAATTGTAGTGTATGATGCAATTTGTGTCATTTTATTGATAATATGATACTTTATATGTTCTTAAAGCACAAGCTTAGCGAACCATTTTGTAGATTTTTGTCTTTCCCAGTCCAAGTAGGAGCAGTATTGATTGTAAAGAGCTGCACAAGGGTGTTGCAAGAGAACTGATTTGATATAAAAAAATAGTTGAAAGCAAACTGTTTGATGTTTCTGCATCTTCTTCACAGGTTATCAGGAATTAATATTCCTGTGCCTATAGTCAGCAATAAGAACTGGCTACGACTTCATTTCGTCACAGACAACAGCCATCGGCATAAAGGATTCAGTGCTCAATATCAAGGTATATTTGAAATATTTTCTTTTAAATATTTTTACGTTTCTGGTAATATTTCTTATGTTTCTGGTAATTGCTTAAGGCAAATCTAACAAAAACATGTCCAGGTCATTATATATATTAGGGATGCACCGATACAGATACTGGTATCGGGCCCGATACTGCACTCCTGTACTCGTACTTGTAAAAATGCCCCGATACCAAAAGCCGATACCACACAACGTGTAAATAGAGCTGTGTCCAGAAAAAGAAACACCAACAACAGAGAGTAGAATGGAGTTATTAGAGATTAAGGATGTCTATGAAGTACATGCAAGTAATTAATATAATGTTAAACATTCAATATCCACGGCTGTATAGCGGATGTGCGCGAGCTGATAAGCAGAGCGCGCTGAGTGGATTGAGCGTGTGGCGGCACAGATGCGTGAGCTTGTCAAGTGAATATCTCACAGACATCACTGGAAAGTTTGTAGTTCAGTCGGATATGTCAAATGCAACCAAGTAAAACAATGCACAAGTTACTAAAGTTATTTGACAGTAAGAAGAGAGAGAGAGCGAGAGAGAGAGTGAGCGCGCACTTCTGTTGCATGATCTTGATTGCTGTTCGCTCCATTAGCGCATGCATTTGGATTAAAACTAAATCGTAAATATAAAGCAAACAATAATTATAGGGGCATTCACTATAAACAACATTTATTTTAAACGTCAAGCATACACAACTTTATAGCAAAAGAAACTAGTGAAATGCGCTAGGCTATAAGTGTCTCTCTCATTGTGCATCAATACAAACGTGTGCGCGCTGCGCATGATTAGATTGCTTTAAAGGCAAAAGTATATTTTGTTTTTTACTCGTACGCGAGGGTCCAAGTACAGTGCGCATGACACAAATTACATCACCAAAATAGTACACGCGTACTCGTATAATGTATAACGAGTGGTTCCCTGCATTATTTTAGGAAAACGTCTTGTGATTACAGTATTGAGCTGCAGCAATGGAGCAGCTCTAATGTGCCATTAAAATGAACAGTGAAAGTAACAAAAGCTTATACAATACATTTTAACAGGTATAATTAAGTGTGGAAATAACTGAAGGTAATATCTGTTTGCTAAATGAAGCCAAATAACATGATTCATATTATTATTATTATTATTACTATTATTTTGTTTCTGTACCCAATATTTAAAAGAAAATTACAAATGCTGTGAAAATACAGGTATCGGTATCGGCGAGAACCAAAAATTACAATACATTTTAACAGCTAAATTAAGTGTGGAAAAAACTGAAGGAAATATCTGTTTGCTAAATGAAGCCATCTAACATATATTATTATTATTATTACTATTATTTAGTTTCTGTACCCTATATTTTTTTAAAAATTACAAATACTGTGAAAATACAGGTATCGGTATCGGCGAGTAACAAAAATGAAAGCATCGTATCGGACTTGTTCTGAAAAAAAGTGGATATATATATATATATATATATATATATATAGATAGATACAGTATATTCAATGTTCTTGACTTTTGTTTTGATAATGTATTCCCTCTAAATAGTCTTTCCACCTACTTAAACTGCACTAGAATTCTTAATTTTATTTTTGTTCTTTTGATTTTGGGCCATAGTATGACCCAGACCTCTATTATGGGATTCACCCTGTTGCTCTAAGTAATTACATGCAGGCTGCAATATCCGAAAAATCTTTAATCACCTTGTTAATCTTAATCAGCTGACAATTACAATAAATTACTTGATATCTTATAATGAGGAACGGAAGATGACCTGTCAAAAGTTGAATCAAAGCATGATCCACAAGTTATTTTAAATTAATTTGATTGGAAGCAAATCTAAGAGATGAATTCCAGAACTAGAATAGGAGCAAAGCATGAGAGTAAACAAAAAATAAGAGAATTGTATTTTCACACATAGTACATGACTCAACGGAACCATTTTGTCACATTTTGATAATGAGTTTTTTAATTAAGTAACTTTATTAGATAAACTGTCACTCACATAATTTTGCAGCAGGATTTTTAAAGCTCACCTACACAGAATGAAAATGTGCCTAATTTTGTTTGTTTTCTTTTGCTGAGCAGTGAAACGATCGGGAGATTTTAAATCAAGAGGAGTGAAATTATTACCTGGAAAAGACAACACAAGTAAATTTTCAATAAGTAAGTGTGTTTCTTTCTCTTTGTAAAATTAAATACACACAGCCACTGAAAAGTGTTTTTCTGAATGCATTTTTACAAATGAACAGTGCTATTATGTAGGGGTGGGTGATAAGATCTTATATCATGATGTGATTCAGTTTATTTCACAATAACAGTATATATCACTATATACTAGATATTTTTGCTTAAAGTAAAGTTTTGATGTATTATGAAATTTCAAATACTCTTAGTATCAGAAAAAATAATACCAGAATAAAAAAACCTCTTAAACTTAAAACAGTCAGTGATAAAATAAGAACAAACAAATTAAATACAGGCAATAGGACAAAAAACTATAATAGAACAGACACAAATGAAACTATGTGGAAAAACTTCAAGCACTAGAAACAAGAAATACTAAAAACACTGCATAATTCTCACTGTGTAAATTAAATAAAGATTTATTACTATTAAAGTTACAAAAGTGATTCAGTCAATAGCAACGAGAGATTTTCTCTCATTTGTTGTTAAATGAACATTATTGACAAAGACAGCACCAGGTTTAAGCTGCTGTCACTTTAAGACTGAATGCACTAATCTACTATACAGACACACATGCGTTTTCTTTCTCAATATTTATTTTCACTTAAGACATAAGTGACTGTTTATGAGGATACTTGCAAATAAGGGCATTTTGGCACAGAAGTGTGTGTTTGACCATATGAGCCCAATAAGACGCCAAAAGAACTCAGTTCAGTCCTCATGCTATGTATTATAATATTGAAAGTGACTTTATGTGTGTACATGTTTTAGAGACAGTTTAAGCGCACACTGGCACACAGCAAAATTTTCGCTGCTTATTTTGCTTGAACAGTTACATTTTTAACTTGTTTTTAAACCATAGTGCTTAAAAACACAGCTTTTTTTTGTCGGCGCAGCATGGAAATGTCATGGGGGCATAACTGCGATATAGATAATAATCCAGTTTATCATGTCTACCGGTATATCGCACACTCCTAATGTTATGTCTTGTCTCAGATGCTTATATGGTACTTCAAATAACAATTATAGTAATGGTTAGTATGACTGAAATCTTGTTTTATACAGTATGAGAATCTAAATCCAGATCGGATGAACACATGCATATCAAACTAATTTTGTTAGGGATTTTTTGAAGGGATAGTTCACCCAAAAATGAAAATTCTGTCTTTACTTATTCACCCTCAAGTTGTTCCAAAATATGATATTTTTTCTTATGTTGAGCAGAAAAAAAGATATTTTGAAGAATGTTGGTAATCAAACCGTTGCTGGTAGCCATTGACCTATAGTATTTTTTCCCTATACTATGGAAGTCAATGGCTACCGGCAACTGTTTGGCAATTTACTAGCAAATGATGACAGCATTTTCATATTTGGGTGAATTAACCCTGTTAATGTGACGAATTGCAACAATTTTTTGTGAGAATATACCGTAACAACCATAAACAACCAATGTTTATTTGGCTTTCTCATGGTATACCATGGTTCTAGTACCAAACCCGCCCCCCAAATATAGCTTTTTTTTTTTAACCAATTTTCTGCTGTGTATCTCATTATGTAGGGTTGTTCAAGTAGAAACCAAGCAGCTTTAAGATCTGCTCTCCAGTGCTGCTGCATGTCATGCGTAATTATGACTGTTAATACTGTTGCTCTAATGTCATAAAAAGCTCTTCGCTGCTTAATTTCTTTCAGATGTGCATCCCCGTTAATTGTTTAATATTCCGTAGATGTTATTCCGCCGGTGATTTCGCATCTACACCTTCAAAGCCCATGATTCATAAAGCACGAACAATGCTACATGTTTGTAATCCTCTCGCTTGCCATTTAGCAAATGGATCAAAGGAAATTAGAGCATCCAACGAAACCGAAATCTGCATTTTGATTAATTGAGCTTAGCTTGACTTACAGGTCCCTCACCCACAGAAGCTCCTCGGAAGAGAATGTCAAATCTGTGAAGCGAGCGGCTTCAAGAGAGCACACAGGTGGTTGGATTTCACTCCAACTGAGTTTAATTACTGGCCATCCAAACAACCGGCCTAACCTGGATACAGACCCGAGCCACACAATGCCCGATTGCTATCTATGGAAATGATTTGTGCACGCTGCGAAAGTGAACAAGTCCTTTTTTTTATGGCTCCACGTGCACCGGTGTCGTAATGAAACGCCGAATGATTCATTTCACCCTCGACAATGTAGCACTCCAAACACTTAATTACAACTGGATAGAATTTTTATGAGCCTCTATTTCACAGTGTCTGCATCACGCATTCGGAAATATGAGTTACGAGTGAATTATCGGGTCTTATTCAGAACCCCGGTCTGCTGCCAAACACCCCTTTCTAAACGCTTGCCTTAAATTATCCGCATAACGTCGCCTCCTGCGGTAATTATCGCAAGCTAACACCTATTTATGGACGAGATATTGCGCCAACTTCTCTTTTGATTGAGGATGAAAGTTGATGTGTGATAACTGAGGCTGTGTTATGGAGAGCGTGATCACAGGTGATGAAGGCTGATGTCTCCATATGCTGTTTCTTCTCCCACAGTGAATGAAGGGATGGTCAAGCAGGTCTCCAACTTCTGCCCGGACCCCGGGGAACCGGAGAACGGCAAACGCATTGGCACCGATTACAGGTAGACAGGCTGTCCACACGGCACACAAGGATGCAGTTTTGTTTGAAGAGATTGATGGGGCAGTTGTGATGTCATGCAGTTTTGATAGTATAGCTCATGAATATTAATTAGGCAATGCACGTATAGTTTAATATGATCTTTTACTGTTTCGATAGCTTATAAACAGAAATATTTAATAGTTTCTTTACTCATTTACAAGTTGAAACTGAAATGTAAACAGTAAAGTATCTAAAATGAATGAAACGACAATTAGCACTTTTAGTTTGTTTTGAGATGTTCTCATTACATTACACGTTCAATGTTATAGTCTATTTTATTTGCTTAGATATTAATATCTTGCTTTGCTTAAATGTTCTTTTAGCAAAATATTAATTGAATATTAAATATGAATTAATATTAACTTTTAATTAATAATTTTTTTATTGTAAATCATTTATAATAAATCAGCAAAAATGATATTTTGATGATAGAAATAATATTTAATTTTTGTATTGTCTAAGATATTAATAATGTTTGCAAAATATTAGGATAGATATAATTTTTATGAAATTAGTGAAAATAACGTGATATTTTATTAAGATATATGCAAATATATAATATTTTATTTGCTGACATATTTTTTTTCTAAATATTTAGCAAAAATAATTACGTAATGAAATGAATTTATGCATTTAATTTGCTTTAACATTACACATTTAATGTTATATTTTCTTTTTTATTTGGTTAAATATTAATATTTTGCTTTGCTTGAATATTATTTCAGCTAAATATTAATGTAATATTATTTCAGCAAAACCGACACATTTATTTTCTATTTTCTATGACTATGAAGTATATCAATTTTAGCAAAAATAAAAAACTTTGTTTTATTTTCTCAAATATTAATTATATATATTATATAACTATATATGTATAAATATTTTTAAAAAATCAAATATTAATTATATTAAATATGAATTTTTGCAAACTAAGATAAATATATCAATTGTATTATATTAGCAAAAATTATATATTTTATCAACATGTATGCACATATGTATTTTGTTTGCTTATATTGTTTTTTTTGTTGTTTTTTTACAAATATTTAGCAAAATTCAAAAATTAATTACATTTATTGATTTATTGAATATTAGTTCAGCATAAATACTCATGATGTTATTTATTGTAAAGTATTACTGACACTGTGACATTCTGATAACAGTCGCAATGACCATTCAACAAAACATTAAAAAAGAATAAATGACGTAGTTTACGTACGTATGTTTGCAAACGTGGGGACAAAATTAGCAATGGAAACAAAAAGTAATGGGAACATTTCCTGAAGGATGGCTAATGCCTAGGTGTTTCAGCAGCAATGAAATCCCTGATTATATTCCTACTTGACATTTGCTCTGACATGAGGCCGATACACGCAGCGCCGATCAATCTGTCAGCACGCGTGGGAGGCGCTCGAGGAGATTTCCTTCATTGATTCTCTGGCTTTCGTGTTTGTTCTCTCTTCAACACGGCAGCATCAGTGCAACGGTTCATTTCACCTGCGACGAGGACCACGTGCTTCAGGGATCCAAGAGCATCACGTGTCAGAGGGTCGCCGAGGTGTTCGCGGCCTGGAGTGACCACAGACCCATCTGTAAAGGTTAGACTATTGCCTTCAATAAACCCTGCTCTGAGCCGGATTAGACCAGACATCTGATCTACTGATGTCTCAGAATCCCACAATTCAATACCGTCAATACCGTTGATTCTTGGTACAGATTACAGCAGAGTTTTAAAAGAATATTTCACTCAAATATGAAAATTGACTTCCTGTTGTTCCAAAACTGTAGTATGTCCTAATGCAAAAACCCATTTTTCATACAACAAAAGTGGATAGTTATTTACTGCTAAGTGCAACATGATTCATGTGAACCAATGATGTCCAAACCTTGTGCATTTTAGAGTGCTATTCTTGTTATTTTTGAAGCTTGACAGTAAATTACTTTTATTATATAGGAAAAAAGCAGCTTGTACATCTTTTTTTTTTTTTTTTTTGTGGACTTTTACAATCCTAACAATAGCTGTAGTAAATCAGGTGTTTTGGCATTGGTCAGGTTTTTTATGGTTTTAAAGTCATGTAATTATTTTTGCCAAATGATTTTATTATTATGATTTCACAAAAATTAAAAAAAAATAAATAAATGTAATATTAATTTAGCAGAATTGACCGATTTAATTATATATTTTCTATTTTAGTCTGTATTCTTAAATCAGACCACAGTTTTTTTATAAATGTCAAAATTTTATGTCTAATTCACAAAAATGTTAATTAAAAAATAAATGTAATATTAATTTAGCAGAATTGACCGATTTAATTATATATTTTCTATTTTAGTCTATATTCTTAAATCAGACCACAGTTTTTTTTTATAAATGTCAAAATTTAATGTCTAAAAGTGACATTTATTAAAAATCATGCAGTTCCAAAATGATTCATTAAAAACGTTTTACAGTACTAACAGCAGCTTTAGTAAGTAGGGGGTTTTGGTATTTAAAAGCATGTTTAAAAAAAAAAAAAATGCATTTATTGTAATGTAATTTCTTTTTTTTCCCAGTATGATTTGTGTTTTTTTAAGATGCTTATCTTTTGTACTGTTAAAACCTGCCATTTCTCTTTTACTTGCTTAAATACGACTTTTTTGCGAAATAATTACCTCAGAGGGTTAATTTAGCAAAAAATGAATGAATGAATGCATAAATATGTAAAATATGTAAATATGCATGTAATATTAATTTAGCAAAAAAAAAAAATTCTGATTTAATGTTGTATTTTCTATTTTATTTTCTTAAAACAAACCAAAGGCTTTTTTATGAGCAAGTCTGTATCTAAAAATGGCATATTATTATTATTATTTTTTTATATAAAACAAATAATTCCACCATGATTCTACCATTTTGTCTTGTTTTTCAATATTATTTATTTATAATATTAACAATAGGTGTAAAGGTATTTTGGTCAGTTTTGTAAATGAATTTACAGTGGTGTAATGTGTTTGTTTTCGAGAGTTTTTTTTTTCTTTTTGCGCTGTTGAAACCTGCTGTTGCGAGCGGTTCCTGACGAGTTATCAATACCTCACATTGCTCTCCTGACTCTTGTGCTTCATTGTGCAAGTCAGATTAGAAAACATCATCTTCCCCTACAGCACCTCAGATTCTTAACTGTTATATAAATGAAAGATATGCAATTTACAGTAGGTTTTGTGAGTCAACAGTTTCTCTTTCCATGAGCTCTTGCCGCAAACGGCACATTTCAGGTGTAGGTTTTCCATTTTTTTGTACCCATTTTATGCCAGGCCATTAACAACCAGCAAATAGCTGATTCGTGTCCTCAACTGCTGCTAAATCTGATCTTTCCTCTGGTGAGAAATGCAAATGAGCCCTAACACACATAACATTATTACCTCATTTATCTTCGCCCGACGGAATTGCAAAGTTCAAATTTTATTGCGTTTTCCACAGAGCCATTATTAGAGACCCATGGGCAGCTCATTGGCATTATTATTGTGTTAACACAATAAATGAAGTTAATATATGAACTTAAAGGGACGAAGCAGGACTTTCTTATGGTTGCCTGATAGTGTTCATTAGCAAACCACTAATAATATCAGTGTAAGTGCTGTAAGTCGTTTTTTTTTGCACATGTGGACCGCCTCTAAGCTGTGTGCGCATATATGGATGATTCTTCAACAAGGTGTGGGTGTTTAAACATCATTTTATAGGAGAATTCTGCCATTTTTAAAAAAATTAATAATGGACATTTACACTAAAATGCCATTTCCATCGCATCTCAATTTATGTATTGGGTTTTGAGTATATTCTGTGATGCAAATTACTTTTTTTGTAATAAAATGCCTCCTTTCTATGGCTAATTTCATAGCATTTTTTTGTATCATAAATACAATTACATATTATTCTTAATATTATATAATAGTTTGAAAATGTTTATTGAAAAGGTTTTATATTATTTTCATGTAATACAGTGCATATTGCAATGACTTGAAGTCTTTTAAATGTTATGAAATATGTTTACTAACGTTCAAACGTTTAGGGTTCAGTTTTTAAAGAAATTAATTTTAGTCAGCAAAGGTGCATTAAACTGATCAAAACTGACAGTAAAAACATTTCATAGTGTTACTAAAATATTCTATTTCAAATAAATGCTGTTCTTTTGAACTTTATATTAATCAAACAATCCTAAAAAAATGTATCACGGCTTCCACAAAAACATTGAACATTGATAATATAAGAAATGTTACTTGAGCAGCAAATCAGCATCTTAAGCCTCGTACACACCGGGACGATTATCGCGCGCGCTTATCGCCGACGTTTTTCGACACGTCTTTTGTGTTCATACCCAAGCGATTTTCACATGCGGTGAGCCGAGTGAACGTGCAAATTCACTCCCTGACATTAGATGGCGCTTAATGAAAAACAGACAGCAGCTCCAGGCACGTGAACAAAAGTGCCAATCTCATTGGTCAGCCAGTTTTTAACGCGGATCGTCAAACCAAAAAAACGGGCCAGAAGCGTTTTTAAAAAAAATGACGCTTTTACGCCTCGCGTTTTGCGAGTCGGTGTGCACACTCACATTGGCGCCCTTTGTTTAGTCACGAGGCGTTAAACGTCGCCGATAATCGCGCGCGATATTCGTCCCGATGTGAACAAGCCTTTAGAATGATTTCTGAAAGATCATGTGACACTGAAGACTGGAGTTGAAAATTAAGCTTTGCATCACATGAATAAATTACATTTTACAATATATTCAAATGAAAAGCAGTTATTTTAAGCTGTAAATATATTGTAGAATATTAGTGTTTTTACTGTATTTTTAATCAAATAAATGCAGCCTCTACCATCACATAATTACAGTTTTAAATTACATTTTAAAATGCATTCAAATAGAAAAGACTAATTTTAAATTGTAATAGTGTTTAACATTATTGCTGTTTTTGATCAAGTAAATGATCAAATAAATGCAGCCTTGGAGCCTTAGAGACCCAGAACCTTTAGAGTGCAGTGTGCATATTGTAATGATTTGTTTTTAGTTCTTTGTTTAGATCAAAGTTTTATGAAATATGTACAGATTCATGTTTTTTTCATATTTTGTAATTTATTTTTCATATTTTAATATTTAAAAGTCTAGTTCTGGGACAACATCAAAGAGAAGCATTTGAAAAGCATCAAGACGGCATGGTGAAAACTTTCCAAGACTTTAATGTGACCTTCATTTAGCAAAGAGAAGCCAACTTGAAATCTGTTAGCGTTAATAAAAATCAACCCACGAGACACAGTTGTGGCAGCCGTTGAAGAAGCACCCATATACCTTAAGTGCATGCTTCGTTCCTCAGTGTGCCATTAACGTGCCAGAAGGCTGGTATTCATTGTGTCTAGCTAAATGTGAGCAGCGGCAGCTCCCCGGTGTCTCCAAACGCACACCGGGGGGTGATTATGCAAACAGGACGTTGTTAATGTACAAGTGAGCGTTTGAAATAACACGGGACGAGTGGAGCACGTCTCTCCAATGTTTACTTGCAAGCTTGAGCCGCTGATTGAAAGCACTCTCGGAAATTTGTTTTACCCTCAACATTCATTGGACTGTGCAAATGATTTGCTGGATAATTGATGCATTGCCCCCGCTGAATTTTTTCGGTTATAGCACCGCGGTTCAATGGGGCCCGCAGAGGGTACGAGCAAATGAACTGAAATATACAGGCGACATATGCTGCAGCCAAGTGCCCCGGTGAGCTCATGAATATCATATTTATTGAGAATAGTGTGTATCATTTATATTTGATGATGTCTGAAGTACTGAGAAACTTAATTAAGACGGTGTGAAATGCACACTACTCATTCTCCGTAACACAAAGCATATGGAGAAATCCCTCCGGTCAAGGTGCTTCATTGATTCGAGTGGCGTTCCATTACAAAGACTTCTAGTGCTAATTCAGTGATTTTGTTCCCGTCGCAGGTTATTCAAATCAATTTCGAAGAGTTCGACCTGGAGCTGGGATACGATACGTTGACTGTCGGAGACGGTGGAGAGGTTGGCGACTCGAAAGCAATCATACAAGTGTAAGATCTAGAGTTATGCTGTTTTCTGTATTGCACTGCAAAAACAGCTCAATCTTGTTTTCCAGAAGCATCTTTAAATCGAGATCAATTTACTTGAGAAACAAAATATGCTTAAGATATGTGAAGGCTATTTAGATGCAAGAAATGATGAGATTGATCTCTGTATATTTTCCCTTCCCCATCAGCAAATAGTTTGTAAACCTCACTAAATTTAATTAAATTCATGCTTGGAATGAGAACTATTTGCCAAAAGAGAAAGAAAAACCAACTTAATTCAAGGTCTTAATATCTTATGCAATTTGGCTTCTCAAGTAAATGTGTTTTCTTTTCAGAAAGTTTGGATATTTTCAGTGGAAAACATGTTAAAATGATTTTTGTAGTCTTGAATAATTAGCATTGACCGTTGACTTTCGTCTAGAATATTTTAAAGTGGCAATACTATCTTTTTTTCATTTAAATTTTTCTTACACCAACAAGTCACAATTAGTTTTACTAACCATTTACCACGCACGAACATATATATAACAAATACATTACACAGCAAACTGTCACACAAGTGTCAGATTTAGTGTCATTCTGAAGTTGTGTGTCAGGAGTGTTTACTGTATTGCAAGATACTCAATCAGTATCTTGTTTTCCAGTTAAAAATCCCTTGAACATCCTTAAATCAAGATACATTTGCCTGAGAAACCAAATATGCTTAAGATATGCAAAGGCTATTAAGATAAGAAATTAAGACCTTGAACTCAGCATATTTTTCCTTTCCCATCAGTAAACTGATTGTAAACTTCATTTAATTGTATTAAATTCATGCTTAAAACAAGAACTGTTTGCTAATGAGGTAAGAAAAATAAACTTAATTCAAGGTCTTAATATCTTATGCAATTTGGTAAATAGTAAAGTAACTATTTCTTCTTTTAAGAATATTTTAGCCGGAAGACAGTCAATGATTTTTTGAAATCTTGAATAATTAACATTGACTATTAGCTTGCAGCTAGACTATTTTATAGGGGCCATAATGTCTCTTTTCTCACATCCCCCCAACCCCCCCCCCCCATTTTTCCTCCTTCACAAACATGTTTTTCCTTCTACCTCTTCTCACCGTCAGCCGTATGTCTCCGGGTATCTTGGGTAGACACACTTTGGTGACGGTCTGTGCTGCTTTCTGGTGCATTTGGCTGGCTCTGTTCCAGCTGCGATCCATCGAGCACTCACAGAGCGTTCCTCAAGGACAAAAGACTCTCGCTGCCAGAACACTAATACATATTGTAAAGCTCAATTAATGCCTTTCTTCACGTTTGTGCTAGTCATATTAGCTTAGTATTTTATTATGCTTTATTTACACAGTCTGTAACAGACATATTAGCGTATACCATTCTAATATGGTGTTTTTAGACCCATATCATGGTAATACTATACTATATTTTGTCATGGTACTATGGGTTTTTTGGATGCTACCATGGTGATTTTTGAAGTACCTGACAGTATAATTTAAACCCCAAGTACAGTCAAATACACAAAAGTACCATCATATTACCCTGTTTTTGGACATGTACCATGGTAACGGTTATATTAACCACTTGCGATACAGGAATAGCATAAAAAAATACTTTAATAGTCCGGGAGAAAATAACAGAAATCATACACATCAACATAAAAGTATCTGTAAATGAGACCAGACAACGGAACTAAGGAAACTCTGAGCGTAAATACACAGAGAGAGTAATCAGGGAGAACAGAAACAGGTGTGTGGGACTAATTAACAGATGAGGAAACTAACTAGGAAATTAGGCAGGCGGGAAAAGAGTAAACACAGAAAAATTTAACTAAAACTGACTATAATCCTGACTGTGATTAATACTATGATTTAAAAAATGGATCATGGTAATACTATGGTTTTGGATGCTACCATGGTGTTTTTGAAAAACATGAAAACACGAAATGTAGTCGAATACATAAAGTACTATGCTACCATGGTAAAATGATATCAAAATGGTATGAAACCATGTGCAAAAAAACATGAAACTCTGTTCTAGTATACTTTAATACTAGTCTAGTACTTTTTTTGTAAGCTTTGTTTTGTTGTTTTTGGAGTATGCGCTATGGTAATACTGTTTTTTAATAAATATCATTACTATTCCATGATATTGTTGGATAAACACTACCATTCAAAAGTTTGGGATCTTTTAAAAAAAAAAAATCAGTACTTTATATATTAAGGATGCATTACATTGATGAAAAGTAACAGAGACTTTTGCATTGTTGCGAAATATTTCAAATAAATGCTGTTCTTTTGAACTTTCTAAATAATAAAAAAATAAATATTAAGCAGCTCAACTGTTTTCAAGATTGATAATGTACTAATAATAAAGATTTGTTGAGCAGCAAATTAGCATATTAGAATAATCATGTGACACTGAAGGCTGGAGTAATGATGCTGAGAATTCAGCTTTGCATCATAGAAAACAGTTCTTTTAAATTGTAATAATATTTCATAATATTACTGTATTACTGTATTTTTTCTTTTTTTTTTCTTTTACAAATAAATGCCGTTTTGGTGTAAGCATTTATTTCAAAATATTTTACCGACCCCATACCTTTGAGTACTATATAAATATAGTAATCATTCAGTACTATAGCACATATCAGAATACCATAGTATTGGCATCTGACAGCTTTATTATAGCATGGCACCGCTACAGTAGTGTTCTGTATGCTGAGCTCACAGACTCTTATTTTCTTTTGTTCACTCTGCATGGACAGGTTAACGGGCAGTTTCGTCCCTGACCTCATCGTCAGTATGACCCATCAAATGTGGCTGCATTTGCAGTCTGATGAAAGTGTGGGCTCTATTGGCTTTAAGATCAACTATAAAGGTGAGTCTGTTCTCTGCCTGAGCTTCTTAGAGTGCCCACATAAATCACTCTGCTGGCTCAAAAGCTTTACTGCTGTTTTTCTCCCTCCCTTCGTCTCTCTCGCCTACCTACAGAAATTGACAAGGAAAGTTGCGGGGATCCCGGCATCCCTCTGTACGGACTCCGAGAGGGCGGGGTCTTCTCCAACGGAGACGTGCTGCGCTTTGAATGCCAGTTCGGATTCGAGCTCATTGGCGAACGAATGATTTCCTGTCAGAATAACAATCAGTGGTCTGCTAACATCCCTATCTGTATATGTGAGTGCTGCTAGATGCTTCTCTGTCATTATTTATGTGCTTCGAAGCCTAAATGTTTTTTTAATGTTCTCTGGAAAAAATGAGATTTTTAACAAAACATCTGAGCATTTTTTTTTCTCAATAGATAGATAGACAGACAGACAGACAGACAGATAGATAGACAGACAGACAGACAGACAGATAGATAGATAGAGAGACAGACAGACAGACAGACAGACAGACAGATAGATAGATAGAGAGACAGACAGACAGACAGACAGACAGACAGATAGATAGATAGATAGATAGATAGATCCTTCGTTTAAGTCTGCCTGGGAAGTTCTTTCTTCGAAAGTCGTAATTATGATGTGATTTGCATTATTTTAGTCAGAATAAAAATGGGTGCTTTGGGCAATTTCATTTTTCTTTCTCTCAGACTGGAAGCATTTTGAGTGCTAATGCAACAGAATGAAGAGCAAAGGATGTGCATTAAGTGTGTAATAGATGCTTTATGTATTTCATCGTTCTCATACTGCCACAGAGAATGATGGGAAATGTTGTCTTATCACACAAGCCTGGTGCTTCATTAACTGGCTAAGTGAGTAGTATTTTCTGCCGAGCACGATCACTATTCTTCATTAATGATTTACAAGCTAATTATATGGTTAACACTCACAATTAAAACTTGGTCAATACCATTTGGAAGGTAGAATAATCTACCATGTATTATGTTTTAATATCATTTTTTGGATATTACCATTATGAATGCCATAGTATTTTTTACAGTAACGTTTGAGGTCGATAATTTAAATAAATAAATATATTGAATGACATTTTTAAATATGTAAAAACTGTTATTCTCTCCAAGGCTTTATTTGATCAAAAATACAGTAAAACAGCAATGTTGTGTAAAATTAATATTTAAAATAACTGTTTTCTCTTTGAATATGTTTTAAATATAATTTATTCAAAGCTGAATTTTTAGCATCATTGCTCGTCTTCAGTGTCACATGATCCTTCAGGAATGCTTCTAATATGCTGATTTGCTGCTCAAGAAACATTTCTGATTATTATCAATGCTGAAAACATTTGGGCTGTTTTAAATTGTTTATATATGTGTATGTATGTTAATTTATTTTTGTTTTTATATTCTTTAAGAAAAATCGACTTTTGATGGATATAAAGTTCAAAAGAATAGACTTTATTTGAAATAGAAATCTTTTGTAATATTATAGTCTTTACTGTCACTTTTGATATATGTAATGCATCTTTGCCAAAAAGGTATTCATTTCTTTCAAAAAACAAATAAATAAATAAATAAATAAACAAACTGTAGTCTACAATTTGGCATTCAAAAAATGTTTTCTGGATATGTGCCACTAACAATTCCATGATATCATATATTAAAGTTAAAGAAAAGAAAAAAGAAAATCGCTCAAAGTTAATTCAGAGTTTTCCATTGCTAAGCGTGACATTTTTGCCATTATACTGTAAATACTATCATTCTGACAAGACTTGAAAGCCAGCACAAGTCCTTCTAGAACGTTCTTAAGAGCTCGGAAGTCATAATTACTATGTGAAGTGCATTTAAGTGATCATAACATGGACATGTCGCCAATTCATGTTGCCATGATGTAATTTTCCTGCCAACTGCGACTAAGATGAATGGGAAATACTAACGTTTAGCTCTCTTCAGGTACATTAGGCCTTGTGCGTTCAGGAAGTAATTTAAGACCACAGTTCTCCATCCATCCTCGCTAGCTCATTACGGTGATGAGCTCTGACGACCCTTTGCATCTCTCAGAGTCGGTGAGACACATGTCTAAATGAAATGATGTCGAGAGGTCGGACTAATTAAAACCGTGTTTTATGTCGGTGTGTGTAAACAAAACAACCGCCGCACTGTTAAATATGGCTAACAGACTCGAAAGGACAGCTGCGCTCTGGCAGATGATAAGATGACAATTCTCTGGGAGCCCGACAAGTAAACAGCACCAAAGAGCAAGACCATTTCAAGAGTTTTAAAATTCCCAGTGTGCCCTGCACAATGTAGTTTAGTACAATTACTGCTTCCATTACAATACAATAATCCCTGAAGGAAACAGGTGCAGCATCTTTTCTATCCGCAACCCTGCTGTCACACGTCAGTGTGTTAGTTATTGCTTAAGGCAAGACACTGCAGGTGAATAGGGTAAAAAATTAATTTACAGATATCACCATACTTACCCCAGTTGATTAAGACAATTGTTTTCTATTACGGTTTCTGAAATTATATGTTTAAATATGCAAATAATGCATTATCTGATTAAATATGCACTAATTTGCATACAATTCCAGAACAGAAATCTGAACATTGGGTAAAGCCAGGTACTTGTTTTATTTTGTTGACATATTCGAGTTGAAGGTTTTACAGAGGCTCTCTTATTATCACTCCATAAATCCGAAAATGCTGTCAGTAGCCAGAAAAAAAATAAAAATAAAATAAAAATCAGCGTATGCATAAAATGTTATATAAATCAGGCGAATGATATATGAACAAACCCTTCTCTAAAACCCATCAGAATATAGATATAGGAATAAAACAGTAAAGTTTAGTGACGTGCTGCTGAAGTGGATATTTTTATTAAAATATATGTATAAAATATAAGATATAAATCAGGCAAATAATATATGAACAAACCTCTCTGTACAATTTATCAGAATATAATAATAATAATACATTTTATTTATAGGCGCCTTTCTCAGCACTCAAGGACACCACACAATAAAAGTACAAACAAAGCAAAGGAAACAAACAAGAAATACCATATGCAAAAGACTAAAACAGAATATAGATATGAATAAAACCATAACGACTGGTTTATGTGCTACTGAAACAGATTTCTGGCTTGCTGCATGAGAAAAAAAAACTCATTTTGAGAATGAGTTTAAATATATGTATTGTAAATGAAATTTCTAGGCAAAAAAAAAAAAATATATATGTTTAGTATTATATACTGTTATAATATGTATTTAATTATTATTAATTTTCACTTTTTCAATTTAATTTTAGGAATTTTGATATGTGCTTATGTGATTTTACATTGTTTTTAACAGCTTATATAATTTCAGTTTTATTTTTAGTATTTCAATTTAATAAATAGTCCTTCAACTTAAACCTATTTCAATTAGTTGCTAAGGCAACGTCTGTAATTAAAAAAAATAATAATAATTTTAATTTTTCTTTATCTGTTATTTATATTTTGTATTATTTAATCTTTATTTTAATCACAGAATGGAGACTATATGGAGATTTGTGGCTCACTGCACCAAAAAAATAAAAACATTCTCATAATTGAAATCTACAGATAAAGTGTAATAAAATGAACACTTAAATGTGTAGTTTGGATGTTTTCTGGCTACTAGTAAGAAAAAAGAAACGTTATGAAAGCAAATCAGCCCAGAATTTCTAAATTGACCGGTGCATGAAAAACAACAGTGGTTTTGCTTGTGGTTTCATGCCTTAACTTGCAGCTATGAGGTTTTAGCCAAATTGGATGCCTTTAAAATGAATTTAGATTAGTCTTTGCTGCTTTTGACCTTCACATAACTGATCAGCATCTCCTCCCTCTCTTAGTTCCCTGTATGTCCAACTTCACGGTGGCCATGGGCACCGTCCTGTCTCCGGACTATCCCGAGGGTTACGGCAACAACCTCAACTGTGTCTGGCTGATCATTGCAGAACCAGGCAGCCGCATCCATCTGGCCTTCAACGACTTCGACCTGGAGCCTCCCTATGACTTCCTGACGGTGAGGGACGGGGAGTTGGTGGACGCTGTGGTGTTGGGACGCTTCTCTGGGGCGGAAGTGCCTTCGCACCTCACCAGCAACTCCAACATCCTCCAGCTGGAGTTCCAGGCCGACCACTCGATGTCCGGCCGAGGATTTAACATCACGTACAGCAGTGAGTGCTTCTCTTTTGAATGCGTTTCATGTAGCGGTAAAGATTGTGTTCTGAATAAATAAAGTAAAAACAGTCATATTTTTGCAGTTTAAAATAACTGTTGTCTATTTGAATATATTTTAAAATATAATTTGTATTCTTGTGATTGAAAGCAGATTTTTCAGCATGCTAGCATACTATGCATTTTTTTTTTTTTTCCATTTTCAATGTTTTTGAAAATAAGTCACAACATGAATTATTTTTTATATAATGTTATTTTTAAATTTAAAATGTTACAATTTTATTTTAGTATTATTTATATACTTTTAATAGAATTTTTATTATATTTAATGTGTTTTCATTTTTCCATTTTAGTTTAATTTGAGTTGGTTTTTAATATTTCTATATAGCTTTTTTCATTTCAGTTTTAGATTGTGAATAAATGAAATAGCCTTTCAACTTAAACTTCATTTCAGTTACTAAAAGTTGAATTAAAAAAATATATATATATAATTTCAATTATTTACCAATGCGACATTTATGCATTTTATTTTAGTTGTTTATGTTTTGTATTTACTATTTCTTTAGTTTTTTTAATTTAAACATTATTTTAATGACTGAAAATAATTTAAATAGGTTTAGTAAACAATAGACAAACATACACACACACACACACACACAGTTTGCTACAGTAAACTAAAAAAGTGTAATGGTTGGCAAAAATAATTCATACTCTTAAAAAATGTAGTGTTTGCTAACAAAATTTTTGGCATGCGAAGCGTTGTCTTCTCTTCAATCAGATTCCGAACAGCCGTCAAGTAGGACATATGGAAGGACATATTTTCCTCAATTTAATTCATAAGCCATTTATCCACCAGCATCAAACAACTTAATCCTGTTCGCTGAACATCATGCCATTAGCTCAGCCAAAATAATCCTCAAATGCCTGTGCGACAACGTACAGGACCTTAGTATTTACCCACAATCCTCTGTTTCCTACAGTTTGATATTCCATTATGCATTCGCTCTTTCCTTTCCATTTCATTAAGTAAGTCACGTTGCAAGTAACAAGCTCTCTGCTTTGATGTTATTTGTTCAGCGTTTGGACACAATGAGTGCCCGGATCCCGGAGTGCCTATGAATGCCAAGCGCTTTGGTAATAATTTCCAGCTGGGAAGCTCCATATCAGTGGTGTGTGAGGATGGCTTCATAAAGACGCAAGGCTCGGATACTATTGTGTGTGAATTGGAGGCGGGAAAGGTGATGTGGAGTGGTTTGATCCCCAAATGTGAAGGTAGGTTTCAAAAGTGTTTGTGTCCTCTAATCTTTTCTGTGGAATAAAGTTATCAAAGCTTTATTCAATTACAAATATGTCGCTTTGTTTCATAATTACAGCGTATACGTTTTTATTTATTTACCCTCAAAAAATGGAAGTGAAATGTGACAGCATGCCCCGCAGGTGGGGTACATTGTAACATCTTGAGGGGCACATGACCATGTGACAGCTTAAAATGTTATCTGATCTAATGAAAAAATATACAGGACACACTAAAATATTTTGTCAATAAAATTATTAACTTTTTCAAATAAAATGGTGTTTTTTAAGAATTAAAAATAATCCGATTTTGGAGTTTGACAACTAACACGTTGTGACCACGCTTGGTACGGCCCATAAATGAGACAAAATGCTTTACATTTTTTGAAATAATTATTTCTGAACATTAAACCTTGACTGTCAGTCTTTTTTTCACCTGTTTCTTGTAGTTTCTCATTAAAATGCATTAAAGTAAACAGTGTAAATTACATCGCTAATGTCAAAGAATAGCATAGTTTGTGTTGCATTGTTCCCCAGCGCATCTGGAATTTAAAACTGGTTAGTGTCTTCTGCTAGTTAGCGAAGCATACTAAACTGATAAATAACAGATTGGAGATTAAAATAATAGCAGATTTTTCTCATTTTAAATGAATACTAAAAACTGAGATGAAAAATTGACTCAAGCCAGAAATGTACTTTTACTATGGTAAAAATAAATGTTCACGATATCTTCAAAAGATTTTGGAATTTTTGGTGCACATTTTTCTCTATAGCTATAGTGTTGATATGGCAACGAGTAATACCGTAAATTTTGTTATTCTAGAATGTGTTGAAATATTTATACCACGTGTGTTACAACCCCGCTTTAGTTTGTGCCCCGTGCTCCCCTACTCTTAACAACTAAGTTAAGTGGAATGCCTAAAACAGCTTAAAAAAAACAGCCAAAACCAGCCTGACTGGCTAGTCTAGTTGGTTTACAATGGGAATAACTGATTTGACCAGGTAAAAGCGGTTGAAAACTCTTTAAAACCAGCCTGCTAAACTAGCTATCACATGGCATGAGACCAGCAAAGGCAAGCTAGCCAACTTGGGCTGGTTTACCCTTTTTGACAGCAGAGATGCGATTTACTGTAGTAAAATTACTGTAAGACATGATCACTGCTTTATGCCTAAGGGGATGAGTTAGTGGAAAATATAAGGGCTTACCAGTAAAAGTATGACCGGTAGGTTTATATTTTGACACAGTCAAGCATTGCCTTCTGCACCTTATCGATTAATGGTGCTATAAGCAGCCATTTCGCTAACTTCTGCCTTTGTTTACACAAGTCACACAGCCTCTCTGTAACATCCATCTCCACAAAGACATCAAAAGTCAAATTTTCTAAAGACCCTCAAAAGTGTAAAGTTGGTCTGTTATCTTGTTTGTGCAACTGTCACAGAGATGAATGGTAATGTTAGCAGTTAGCTTTCTTTATGCTAACAGATAACAGACAGCTTCCTTTAAGTATTAAAACTTCATTTTAAAACTGAATCTGAGAAATGATTGACATCTAAAGCATACCCTTTACCATGGTAAAATCACTGACAATCACGAGTCAGTTTTTCCTCTTAAATGTGAAGTTTTTGACTTGTTACCAAGTGCAGCTGTTGTAGATAACTGGGGATGCTAACAGCTAGCTAACAAATAATTTTCTTTTTGCTAACAGATTTTTTAAAGTCCTTAATACCTTTTTTGCAAAACCGAATATGTGAATTAGTTTTACTCTCAAACACCGAATGTTTGATTGAATAATAAAGACACAAAAATAATTCCATAAACTGACTGACATGCAGAAAGTGTTTTTGAATGGATACAAAAAAAAATTGTGGTTCGCTCCCCTGGATCTTTTTTCCTGCTGTTTACAAACACCGGTTTGATTTCTCAAGACACTTATTTTAGTGAAATCTGTCAGGTAGCAGGGGCGTTTTGTGCGTCTTATTAAAAAATAGCTTGCAGCACTTTTAAATCAAGAACTTTTTAATCATCTAAGACAAAGACACTGTACTGCAACAACAGTTGATAAGAAGAGGTTTCTTTGTTGAATCGAAGTGTTCTAATAAACATTCTGCTGGCATGTACATAAAATGTTTCCTGCAGCGCCCTGCGGAGGACATTTCACCGCTCCGGTGGGAGTCATTCTGTCCCCGGGGTGGCCCGGCTACTACAAAGATTCCCTGAGCTGTGAGTGGGTCATCGAGGCTGAGGTGGGACGCTCCATCAAGATAAGCTTTGACAGGTCTGTTGGATAGCTCTGAGAATAGCAACACATAGAGGCATTATTTGGATTCATGTCTGGAGGCATCAGCTCTCCAAGGCGACAAATCATTTCGGCACATATCAGGGTTAGAAAAAGCCGAAGTAGTAACATATTCATAGCCTTTGGGTGTGAAGGCCGCGTGGCTTTTTATAAAGTCTCAATGTAACAGTCTGCCGAGTTAATAAAGTATAATGTCAAATATAATTGAATCGTAAGCCTCAGCTGATCTCAAAGTTCACATGTAGAAACGTCTGAAGGATGCTATTGCTTCCGAGTAATGTTTGTCATAGCGCATAGACTGAGAGAGCAAGGGAGACGGTCACCATTAGTGTCTATATAAATGATTACATAGTGTTATGTCGACGGGCTTGATCCATACGCGTGCTGTTTGCCGTATAAATCTATCGCTGAGCGTGGTGCCCATCGAGGCCGTCTGTGAAAGGGAAATGGAATTAATCTATATCTTGTTACAAATGGTTGCCTTTATTTCATTAGCACTGCAATGCTTCCCAAGAGTAGGGCATTGAAATAGCATCAGATCTGGAGTTTGATCTAGCAGACTCCTGGGAGCGGACGCCTCGAGATGCATCACAAAAGCAGAGGACTCGACTGGGCGAGCAGAGATTGTGTTTTTTTTTCAGCACTTTGGCTTTTCACTGAAATCATTTAATTTCTGTCATCGTTTACGCACCCTTGTGTACAGCAATCATGTAGGACTTTCTTCTGTAAAATGCAAAAAGAGATAATGTGATAAATGCACTGGCTGCTCTTTTCTATGAAATTAATGAGAATGTGGACCAAAAAAAAAAAAAAGAATTAAAGATATCATAAAAGTAGGGTACTGTATGTGGCTGGTTCATTATTTTAAAGCTTCCTAAGTCATATGATTTGTTTGAAAAACCGACTGAAATTCATTATTTAATTAACTGATCCACCAGTATATAATACTAAACTAAATTTTTAGCCTTTTTCATTATATAGACTAAATTAAAAGCATTTATACTTTTTTTTTTACATATTTAATGCACAGTGTTCATATGTATGTATAATAAAATATATTGATATTCACTGAAACTTTACCCCTTTACTCAGAATTTACTGTCTATCTATCTATCTATCTATCTGTCTGTCTGTCTGTCTGTCTGTCTATCTATCTATCTATCTATCTATCTATCTATCTATCTATCTACCTGCCTGCCTGCCTGTCTGTCTGTCTGTGTATTAGGGGTGTAACGGTTCACAAAATTCACGGTTCGATACGATGCAGTGGTGTCACGGTTCGGTACGTTTTCAATACAGCAAAAAGAAAGAAATGCCAGAGAAATTTCCTTGATTTTTACAATTTTTTAATCATGATTTGTTACGGTGATTTGTTTTGCCCTGTTTGAATCATTTGGAAATGCCTGCCTAAATGCTGCGGGGATAGTTTGTAGAGTGTGTTTATCTCCTTGTTTTCGTCTAGTTCCATATAGTCCTCTCACTGCCTCACTGTCCGGTCTACCATTCACCAGCTTGAACTTAGCCTAACTCCTGCCTGTGTCTGACCTGTTGTTTACTTACCCCTAGAAGCTCCAGTGATCCTGTTCTCCTCCGATCCCGTTCTCATCCTCCCCAGATACCTGCTAAGGATGCCAACTAATTACCCAGAGTTAAGAACCCAAGAACTCTCTATCTTCTCATACTCACCTGTCATCAACTTGCTCTCCAAATTGTCAATAAACCCTCCTGTTTGCATCCTTACCTTGTGTCCCTGGCTCATAGTGTGACACTCTCAGGCTCACCTTAATAATATTAATTTAACTTTAAACTATAACATAGGCTGGTTATTCTCATAGATTGTAAGAAAAGTGCTTCAGCCTGGATAAAGAATATGAAAAGTGCTCAGAGTTGTTGCAGAAAACAAAAACAAATGGTGAGCAACAACAAAAACATGTTTCTGGAGACAGGCTCATTCTCTGCCAGCAGGAGGCGCTTCTCGAGCGGTAGTAACAGTGGTTTCCCCGTTAACGGCTGTACACAAAGCAGCGCTCCGCTCATGAATGCTGCTTTATCAGATAAAATGAAAATGCCATCGAAACTTTTCTGAAGACAGTTGG